CTCTTCTTCTATATTTAATTTAATATATATAGATGATATTAAATATAAAAAAAAATTCTTAAAAGAATATTAAATTATAATTTATATTTAAGTTTATATGCATGACTTATATTGTGATGCAAAACTAATTAAAACAGATAAAATGTGAGGAAAAAAAATCCTTAAAATCTTAAGGTTAAAATATTTTGTTAATTTTTTATAGTTTGATTTACTTTACATTTTAATTTTTATAGTTTAAAAAATTAGTCTCTATATTTGTCTTTTTTAATCTTTTCTAATTTTTATATTTTAATATAAAAAAATTTAATCTCTTGTTATTTTTTTAATTTTGTTAATCCTTATCATTATTTTTTAAGTTATTTTTTAATATAATAAAAATTTTAATTTAACTTCATTTATCTGGTATTAAATTTATTTTATTAAACTACCTTTAAAATGAAATTTGTTAACAATTTGTATTTCTTTTGCATTCTCATCTATGATACCATTTGTTTACACTCATAAAACTGAAGACATCTATTACGTGAGAGAAAAAAAACAAATAATTTTAGAGAAAAAAAAAAAGAAATTAACAATAAAAATAAAAAAGAAACTAAAAATATAAGGGCAAAAGAAAATTAATATTAAACTAATATTAGTAAGAAGAAAAAAATAATAATAAAAAGACAGACTTAAGGAGTAATTAAGCTTAATAAAAAAAAGATTTAGACGTTAGTTTGTGCAGTGGCGTGTATTTGTGCAAGTTTGAAGGTGAAAAGCAGATTGTTAAGGAAGTGATGGAGAATATGGAAGTTGACAGCTGCGAGAAGAAGAAGCAACCAAAGGACTTGTTCAAAGCTGCCGAAGAGGGTGACGCCTCAGCCTTCAAATCCCTCTCTCATCAAACCCTTTCCAATGCCCTCTCTCTCACCAACGACGACCGCCGCTCCCTTCTCCACGTCGCCGTCGCTTCCGGTCACTTCCAGGTACCCCTTCTCGTCAAAACACCTTCTTTTCCCGTTTCCCATCAAATTAGGGTTTTCATGGCTGCGAATGAGTGTCTCAGGTGGTGGAGATCCTCTCATCCTGTGATGGGTCTGCTGCTGTCGTCAATTCTGCTGATGAGGAAGGCTGGGCGCCGCTTCACTCAGCAGCCAGCATTGGGAATTCGGAGATTGTCGAGATTCTCTTGACCAAAGGTAAATGCTCTTTATTTTTATTGAGGAAACCATTAATTGTTATGAAGCTAGAGTAAACACGTTAATTGATACATGAATTTGGAGAAAGCTGTAAATATAAGCCCCTGAAACTAAGAAATTATAAAATAAGTCCCTGAAAGTGCAAATTGATAATCATGTTAGTCCAAACATTAAAAAAAAAATGTGTGACCCAAGTGATAATATTGATCCACATTCAGGCATCAGAATGAATTTATAATAAGTAGTTAAATTTAAAGAGTTATTTAACATTCTAGGGACTTATTTGACAATTTCTTTGTTTCAAGGACCAATATGATAGTGCATTACAAATTTAAGGACCAAACTTAGTGTTTACTCAATGAAACTATAAGTAGTTCCTAAAGTATTGAAAACCCATCGGCTTAGTTACTATTGTGGTATACTTTACTAATGTTGAAGGACTAATTTGAATGATTTTTTTGATACTTCAGGGACTACGTAGCGTGATTTCTAATACTTGAGAGATCACTTATATAATTTGATTACTTTAAGTACTAATGAAGAGCGATGATAATACTGGTTCTTACTTAATTTTTATATTATTCCTGATTTCAGTCACCATCTTGAAGTGTAAGCTGAGTGGATAAGTAATTGATGTCTGTTTTCTGAGACTGATATGTTTGATTAATTTGAACTATGGATTAAGTTAAATGTCCAGCTCGTTTTGGGGTGGAGGAGGATATAGAGGGGAAAAAAGAAAAGTAGAGAGAGAAAGTGATAGATATGATATGTGATGTGATGAGAAAGGTAGAAAGAGATAGGAAGAGAAAAATAGGGTGGAAGTGATTAGTATGAGAGTAGAGTGTATGTTTTAAATTACCCTGAACTTAATTGTAAGACTTAATTGTATACAATGGTTTTGAAAAAAGGTCCACGTTGGTGACTGTGACCTTAATGTCAAGATTTTCAGGGTATCTGCTACTGAATTGCGGTTGCAATTGCAATTGCATCAGCCACATTTGTTTGCATTCTCAGCTATATAAAGTATTGTGACTAAATTGTAATGTGATTGCGACCACTATGTAAAACCTTAGGAACTGGTATTATTTGTGTGTATATAATTATTTATTTATAATCATCATCTTCGTGGAGCTATGCTGATGCATGTTTCAGTTTCTTATTATATTTAATATTTAAATAGAGTTGAGGACTTAAAGTATATCTTTCTCCATATTCGAAGTGTTTAACTTTAAGCCTCTTCCACCACTATGTGCTCATCTTTTGGCCCCATTCAAATCATGGATTAGCATTAGGAAGCTTTTAAATTGATGCACCTTGTCATTGTAAAAGATGATAACTGTTAGTCGAGTGCTTTCAGGTGTCAACTGTGGTATTCTATTACTTTTCATTTTATAAATATGTTGATTGAATATGCAGTCTGCTAGTGCGCTGTCTGAGTGTCTTTATTTTGTAATTCGTGGAACTGATCTTGAAGATTAGCAAGACTAGTAATAAAATACAGCTCTTATGATGAACTAATCCTTTAAGGACTATATTTCATTTTCAGTGTACAAAGTTTCATCATTTATCTCAAATGCTTTTGTTCTTCATGTTTGATAGGAGTTGATGTTAATCTAAAAAATGATGGGGGTCGCACTGCTTTACACTATGCGGCCAGCAAAGGTTGGTTGAAGATCGCTGAAATGCTCATCTCCCATGATGCCAAGATTAATATAAAGGATAAGGTTGTAGCACAAATGCATTTGATATGTTTGTGACACTTCAGTTTCAATGTACCACTTTCTTTTCTTAATCACATTGTTAAAGGTAACATGTATAATAATTTAGTGTATGTCTTGTACTATGATCAGGTTGGTTGCACTCCATTGCATCGAGCAGCTAGCACTGGAAAATCTGAGATGTGTGAACTTTTGATTGAAGAAGGAGCAGAGGTTGATGCCGTTGATAAAGCTGGCCAAACCCCTCTAATGAATGCTGTGATTTGCTGTAACAAAGAGGTATGCTTATGTTATGCGTGTGCACACATGTGTGTATTCAGTATAACAGCAAAAGTGTGAGTTGACACATCCATACAGTATTTCTCAGGAATCTGTATATATTTTTTGTAGATGAAACTAGTATGAATCTTATAAATTTTTTTATTTTGACTACTTCACCATGCTTAATGGTTTTGTTCACAAAACTTCTTTTTCATCCCTTGAAATATTGTGTTTCCTTTAGGTATTTTCACTTACTTGATATACTTCATGGAGTATTGGAGTTCTGTTAGAAACTTGGAGTTTAAACATCATGGAAATATAATTACTTTTAGTGTTTGCATTTTATATTTCCTAGAGTATTAAATGACATTTCTAACTTTTGATTTTAGATGCACTGAGGTGCAAGGAGGGTTACACTGCAAATTCTTGCATAGAATCTGCAAATGAATGTTTTGAAGTTTGTTTCATTAGTTATTTTTCTTTAGGCCTTGTTTTGATAAACTTCTTTATAAGCACGTATAAAAGAAGAAAATAGAAAAGTTATATGAATTGCACTTTTCCGTAGGCTAAATCAAACTTATGCACTAAATTTTTATAAAAGTCCTCTCATCTAACTTCTATAGGCTAAAGTTAATAATTTGATTTTAGCTTATTGGAGAAGTTAAATTCGTTTTACCTTTATACCATCTTCTCCTATAATAAGTACTCATGGAGAAGTTTTTTCCAAAATAAGACCTTAGTATAAATATTAATATTAATATATATAACAAATTGATGTCAATGATGAGTACATTGGATTTGGAGTTGACTTCATCAAGCTTTGGTTTCCCTAAAAGTCATCTCCCTTGAATGGCGAGAGATTAATTTCCGGAGATATGGTCAGATGCAGTGGTGGGGTCAGTGTTTTTTCTTTTTTCCTGAATCTCTTGATTCAACCCTGACCACATGCTCAATTAATATGAGCCACTTCAACCAAAACATTGGTGGCTTCATTAGTAATTTTGTAATTAGCTATAGAGTATATTATATACTATCAATGATGAGAAATCAGTTTTGTTATTGGAGGCTTGTAATTGTGGACGAACATACATTAATTCAGGTGCATAAGTCTCTTCCCTTTTTTTCTGTTTGCAGGTAGCCCTCCTTCTGATAAGACATGGAGCAGCTGTAGATGTGGAGGACAAGGAAGGGTACACAGTGCTTGGTCGAGCTACAGATGAATTTAGACCAATATTAATTGATGCTACCAAGGCCATGCTTGAGTAGTGATACAGCTATAACAAAATGAGAAAATTGTCACTAATGCAAAAGAGAGCAGAATTGTGGAGTTCTGGTGTTTATATATTTCAATGCATTAATCATGGTTTCTCTGACAACTATCTAACACAGGCAAAAGCTCAGTTTTACCCTTGTATTCTCAGTTGTTAAACCAATCCGTTTTGGTTTTTTTTTATTTTTTTTTTATTTGTCTTCTTTTAAAATCAGAAAGATATAGAATTTCTCTCTGTTTTTCTTGTGGTCTTTCCTCGCATTACCGTTTACAACGCACTCCCTTTACCAAAGAGTTAACTCAGTTTGTTGAGAAGAATAGTAAGTTGTAGTAAAGTCTTTAATACCGTATTCAAATTTGTAAGTTGTTGTAAATTCTTTAATGCTGTATTCAATTTTGATGGATATAAAAATAATTACAACACACTCCCTTTGGTCTTGTCAATGGTATAGTCCTAGATTGATAAATATGAAAATGAATTCAATTTTAAGATCTCATAAAAAATAAAAAATAAAAAAAAACTATAATCATTGGTATATCAATATTAATAATATCATAATAGTAATTTTGGGACTAGTCGCTGTTCTGCGTGCTGATTCAAAATTGGTGGTTTGTGGAAAGTCAAGACGAGGTATGAGAGTTGGTATGTATGGAGTAGTGTAAAAATTGGTGAACATTGAGAGAAAATTAAATTACATTATTTATGGTTCAAAATAAAAATCAATACAATGCATATTCATCAAATAACTATGCACTTTCATTTTTGTTCATGCCAATAAATCTTCCTTAACTCACATTTGAGGCTAACCAATGTTTCAAACTAACGTGCGTATAGTTACTTAAATGTGAGTGAAATAGTATATATTTTTCAGCAAAGCAAATAAGTAGTATATGAAATTGATTAGTTACATATTAAATATCATAATTGAACTTGACTACAATATAAATGAATAAAAAGTACTATCTATCTTCTTTTATGAAAGATTTTTTTAACTAAAAGAGAAAAAGGGAAAAAACATAAAAAAATATAAAGTATTTTTATACAATTATTCAATCATAGACTATGTATGGTATGTTTGACAACTTTGATAAATTATGTAACGTAATTAGTAGACTGGAATGGAGCGTTCCCAGATTGGAACGGGTTGTTCCAAACTATTAAAACAATGGTGATTTAGTAACCCAGAACGGGCCGTTCCCAAATTGGAACAGGCCGTTCCAAACTACTAAATAGGTCTATGAATCTTGGACTGGAACGGGTCGCTCCAAAATGGTTATTGTGAGTTAAATTCAACTCCAGAACGGCCCGTTCCGTTTTTAGAATGGGCCGTTCTAGACGTGACAGAACGGGCCGTTCTGCATGTGAATTTTACACATGATGAAGGAACCCAGAACGGGCCGTTCTGGATTTGAAACGGGCCATTTTGGCCACTTCAGACTTTTATAAATAGAGGTTGTGCAGTTGAGGAGAAGGAGAGATTTTTAGAGAGAAGGACTCTGGACTAGGAAGCTTACTTTGGGTGGATTGAAGTCCCGGGTTGAGCTTCGAAAAGGAAATTCTACTTCTTCTTAGTTCTTGGCTATTCTGAGCCAATCTTTAGGTAAGGGAAGCTAGATTGTATGTTGTTTGGTTGTATGTGAGTTTAGGAACTCATATGAAGTTGTATAATTACATTGAGATGTATGATGAGTAGAAAGTGAAATGAAGAGATGCATGTTGAGTATAGTGTTGTAAACTAAATGAGTAGTTGTGCCAAATATAAAATACGTTGAATACATGGTATGTTGCTAAAGTTGTTATATTTATGTGTGGATTATTTATAATGTTGTGAGTTGTGAGAAGCATGATGTGAATTGTGTAGACGTATTGAGATTTATACAAAATTTATTAGTAGACCATGTTGTTAAGTTGTTAGAGAAGAGTTGTATGTTGCTATAAAGTTGTATGTTGTGTCATGTGTTGAAAAGATATTATTTTATGATGATTGAGTTGTAAATTATGAGTTGAGCTAATAAGTTGTTGAGTTGATTGTGTTGTTTAAAGTACAAATGAGATGTTGTGTTGCTAAAATGTGTTATTAAACAGCGTTGATGAGTTGTTGTGCTGATATACCATATTGTTTAAGTTGAAAGTTGATTGAGATGATGAGTTGAAAGTTGTGTGTTGTTTAAGTTGTTAAGTTGAGCTGTGCTATTGAGTTGTAAGTTGATTCATTTGTGATGATAAGTTGTTGATCACTAGGACTAGAGGACATGTTTTCGAAGTTGCTCATCCCATTGTGCGGATTGAGATAGTTGTGGTGCTCTGAGAGCCTAATTTGTTGAAAACCCTCCTTGGAAAGTTGTCCCTTGGAGTGGACGTTGTATTGTTCTCCTCTAGGACTTAGTTGGTCCCGTGTCTGGGCAAGGTTGAGGCACACGTGTATAAAGCGACCACGGTATAGGGACAAGGTCGAGTTATACCAATTATAAAGCGACCACGGTATAGGGGCAAGGTCGAGCTATACCAATTACAAAGCGACCACGGTATAGGGGCAAGGTCGAGCTATACCGATTACAAAGCGACCACGGTATAGGGGCAAGATTGAGCTATACCGATTACAAAGCGACCACGGTACAGGGGCAAGGTCGAGCTATACGGATTACAAAGCGACCAATTTGAGTATAGTACGAAATCGGGAACTTAGTTCCTAACCGAGTACTATACTTCCTTGTTTAAGTGGCAAAGTCTGAGAAATCGTTATTGTGTTGTGGATTTCTATCCAAATTTGTTGTTTACCTAGCAAGCCCAAAAAAGTTCTGTGTTGTCGGTTCGGTAGGACCTAGCCACTTAGACTACTTACCACGTTGTAGGAGATCTCCGAGTTGAAATGCGTGACGACGCATAAGTTGTTGATAAGTTGATTTGTTGTTGATAAGAGTTGTATCTATGTTGTTGTGTTGTTAAGTTGTGATTGTGTTGTATGTTGATCCTGTTGAGGATAATGATAGTGTTGTTATGTTGTAAGTTGCTTAATTGTATACAAGTTGATGATGATGCTAGTGTCGCTAGATTACCTGTGTTGTAAGTTGTTTTAAACATGTGTTGTTGAGAGGTGTGTAACACATGTGTTGGTTGTTGTTATGATGAATATGATAACTATTTCAATGGTTTGTACAGTAGTTGCGTTGAAGTGTTGATACAGCGTTGATATGTGGAATCAAGTTGAAATGATGTTAAGATGTATAATATATGTGTTGTTTATCTTTGTGTTGGATGTGAAGATGATTATATAGTTGTGTTTCATATTCGATATTTATGAGTTGTTTATTGTCTCTAGCTTATCCTTACATGTTTCCCTATGATTTGGACTGCGATGATCATACGTTGTATGGGAGCAGGGCAGGGATAGGCTGGGAAATAGCTGCTAGAGGCCCTAGGAGGTGCCTGGAGATGGATTTTTTTTTGTAAGCTTCCTTATAGTAGCATATTTTGTTGTATATAACTGGTTGTTGTTAGTTGCTTGATTAGCAACTTGTGTTGTAAATATTTTATTATACTATTTTAGTATATATATTCCAGTAGTGTGTAGTGTTGTTTCGTAGTGTGACAGCCACGACAAGTCGTTACAAATTACCTTAAGGGTATGTTTAGAAAAGAAAAAGTAGGAGCAAGAGTGGAAAGAGAAAAGAAGTGTGAAAATTAAAAAATGATAGTTGTTTGGTAAAAAAGAATTAAGGATAAGTGTATGGATGTTGGTTAAACAAAAATAAAAATGATAATAAAAATAAATAATAATAATAATAATAAATAAATATTATTTTTATTTATTATATTCAAATAAAGGGATGATTATGTTATATATATATATAATAAAGTAAAAATAATAATAATAAATAAATATAATAATAAAAAATCATTTTCATTTATATTTTAAAAGA